AGGTGTGACAAGGTGACTTTCGCATTTTAGAAAGAGCACTCTGCATCCACTGCAGAGAAGACAGCGGAGGGGGCAAGCCCAGGCAGAAATCCTGAGTAGAAGGTTACAGCGGCCGTACAAGCACAAGATGACATTGAAGGCCTTCATGATGGAGTCTGTGGGAATGAAGAGAAAATGACAGTCGTGATGAATTTGGGTGGCTTAATGGTATGCGGTAGGATAGTGAAGGAAAAGAAGAGGCAAGGATTATGCCCGTATTCTCGACTTAGGCAACTGAATGGAAGTTAGTTTCATTCCCTGACAAACAGAACACAAGAGGAGGAACTCAAGAGGAGGTGATTATGAGTTTGTTTTAACCCCGCTGAATCTCAGGTGTTTAAGGTGCATCCAGTGAAAATGTCCAGTAGACAGACAGGCGGTGGCTAATCGGAAAGAGGGGTACCCCTATTAAATGAGGTGCTGACTCCTTAGAGCAGCCACTGAATATAAAACTAATAAGATGCCCCATATCTTGGGTATGACTTGCAAATTGACTACTTACTACCTCTGGGCTCCATCACCATAAACCATATTCACCATAAACCACTACCTATATTTCATGCCACTGACTGTAAGCCAACCGGCAAGGGAAAGAACAGACAAGTCCAAGTCCACTACTACTTAAAGAGAAAAATCTGCTCAGTTATTTCTTCAGATGAAAAAAAATTAGAAAATGAAAAACAAATTGGTTTTTTCGGTACTTTGTGGTCCCTAATTTATTTTTAAAATTTTCACAGTGATCTCAGAAACACAAATGGATTAAGCATCATGTAGACATAGACAAAATGTTGTTACTGGCAGAGTCCTTAAGTGTTCATGTGATGGCTCAGTCCCCTAGTCATGGAGCACAGAAAGAGTTCACATTCTGATGTTAGGCGAGGACTGTGATCTTTTCAATGGCCACGAAAGGCGTGGCTAGGATGAGACATATAAACCAGCCTAAATACTGGAATATTTGACATACAATAAAGAAAAATGTTTTTAAAAATCTCTCATAAATTTGAAAATACTTACTTTAATTGAGGGAGAAGGAGGCGGTAGCATAATTTCTTATAGCTATTAATTATCTAGTTACAAAACTCATCCAGGATGTATAGCCTGGCTTTCCATTTTCTCTTCTTAAGAAATAAAATATTTAGGTCAAACAATTACCTTGCTTTCTTTTCTCTTCAGGATACATGGTCAACTTATTACATCTTTTATTAGCCATATCTTACACTGTGGTTACCAACTGAGGGTTCAAAGATCCCCTTGAAATTGTGAATTGTGTGCAGAACTTTGCACATAAGTGAATCTAGACATTTTTCTGGGACAAGAATCTAGAATCATCAGATTCTCTAAGAAATTCACACTCAAAACAGACTAAGAATCACGTCTCAAACCCGCATTTCACTACGATTCTCCTACAGTGGACGGTATAAATACAGGTCATAAATTATGGGTTGACAGTTTTCATATTCTTCTAAGGATAAGTATGTTTACTTTCATGGGACCGTATTTGGAAAAGAATCTCAAAAGCTAACAAGTTCGTTCTCCTGCCTTTAGGCAAAATACCTCCAAAATGATCCAAGGCAGAAGAAAACCAAAAGTCTGATTATTTTTCCCTGTGGGAAAGCAATTCCACCACCTCATTCTGTAACCTATTACATTTTTTAACAACCACTGTAAAACTTATCTTTGATCTGTATGTGCTCTAGTTTAGGCCCTCAATAGCCTTATTACTATTTTTCTTTACTTTATACACGGCTATAAATGTGTGTTAACTTTTCCAGAGAAGACATATTGCAATGTTCTTGTCACAGACCATTTTTAAACCTAAAGACTCCAGTGATAAATGTGCATGTACACAACGCAGCTCACACACATTAGGCAGACGTCTGGTCAATATACTAAAACTGAAGTGCAATCAAGTTACTAGCAACAGGAGTTCAGAGCGCGAAAATACTAGGAAAAATCTCTCAGAAAATACGCTGCAACAAGAAGGGGCTCTCCTGCTGTTTCGGGTGGCTGCACTGTCAGTCAGAGTGTGGATATAATTGCATTTGATGGAGATCTGACTTAACCACACGCTCAGAAGGTGTGGGCCCTCAGCAACCCTCACCCTAGCCTGGCCTGTGGTCACGGTCCCATTGCCCTCCCCAATGAAGACTGCGCAGCCCGGGCTTCCCACGTGAACTGGCAATCCAGCTCCTGCTACCTGACTGTCTCATGCATAGGTTTGTCTTCTGTGGTTTCTGCTTTCTGACTGGACCCCGACTGATACAATCATGTCTTATACTTTGATTGTACAGATTGATAGTATTTGCTAACAGTGCATCTTTGATTGTTTCCATTTTTCCTTCTAGTTTAATTGTATTATGGTTAAAGAATGTGTTCTATACCATTCCTACTAAATGGAATTTATTAATATTCTTTTAATATAATGCATAGTCAACTTTTTTAAGTGTTCCTGGAAAACTGAAAAAAAGGTGCAGTCTCTATTTTCAGGATACAGAGATGGATATATTTCTACTAGATCAATCTTATTAAAGTTTTTATATCCTCTATACCAGGAGTCAACAAACTCCTTTTGTAAGAGTCAGATAGTAAATAATATAGGCCTGTGGGCTACAACGTCTCTGCTGTAACTCCTCAACTCTACCATTCAGGTGCAAAAGCAGCCATAGACCATATGTAAACTAAGTGTCTGTGTGGCTATGTTAAATATAACTTTATTTTCAAAAATAGGCAGTAGGCTCGGGGCTGGCCCCGTGGCCGAGTGGTTAAGTTCGCGCGCTCCGCTGCAGGCGGCCCAGTGTTTCGTTAGTTCGAATCCTGGGCGCGGACATGGCACTGCTCATCAGACCACGCTGAGGCAGCGTCCCACATGCCACAACTAGAAGAACCCACAACGAAGAATACACAACTATGTACCGGGGGGCTTTGGGGAGAAAAAGGAAAAAATAAAATCTTTAAAAAAAAAAAAAAATAGGCAGTAGGCTGGATTTAGCTCACAGGCCCTAGTTTGTCAACTCTTGCTTTATATCATTCTTTTCATCCATGAGACCTGCCAATCAATGAGAATGCAATGTTAAATCTCTCAATACTAACGTGTTTTTTGGATTTCTCCCTGTATGTTTTTGGTCCTTCTTAGTTTATATAGTTCTATGCTCTGATATTTGTCACAAAAAGGTTCCCAGTTATTTTATCTTCCTGTGGATTTTATTCCTTACCATTGTAGAATCCTTCTCCTTCTCCTGTTGAAGATTTTTTTATGCATTAAATCTTACATTTAATATAGGAAAACATTTAGAAAGAAAATATAAAATAAACCAATAATATTAAGACCAAAGATAAGTTTAACAACAAATCCAATTGGAATAAATCCACCTATTAAAATAAAACATATCTGAGAATATGGCAAACACCAAAACCACATCTATAAGATATATATGTAAAATAGAGTGCCCTACAAGTTTTACCTATAGTGAATTCTTCATCTGTCTTTTTTTTTTTTTAATGTGAGCCACTGCCACAGCCTGGTCACTGACAGATGAGTGGTGTGGTTCCACACCCAAGCAACCAAACGCGGGCTGCTGAAGCAGAGTGCCCTGAACTTTAACCACTAGGCCATTAGGGCTGACCCTCATCTGTCTTCCTTAAGATATTTTTCCTTTTTAATCTCATTTGCTATAAATATAATTATTATCCTACATATCATATAGTGCATCAGTTTATATATATATATATATATATATATAATATATTTAACAGGTCCATTTTAAGTCTTTTACATAAAAGAGCATGCAGTTTGTGTTGGTCTTTCCTCTTTGTTCACTGCAGCCTCATCTGTTTCCTACCCGTAGCCTGTGAGAGAGCTGGCTGCCAGGTTTCAGCCCTCATGCTCCGAGCTGGAGAAGTTAGTCAGTGTTGCTATTTTCCCTGTAACGTCATGCAAAGTTCTACACTAAAGATCCTTCCACTCTGTCAGGGGCATGTCCAGTTCCCTGGGGTTTTGGGTTGTCTCCTCACTTCATTGCGAGCCCATCACCACTTTTTTGTGACTGCTCTATTCCATATATGCTATTATTTAGTATAACACAGTACTGATTGATTTTTTTCCCCTTTTCCTTTCCCACTTAGTTAAACAAAACCTTTATTTGCCGAACACAATTAAGTTTATAGAATTATTCATCCCTCCCTCTGAGCCACAGGGCAGAAAAAGACAAACCCTAGCAGCCTTTAGAGCTGTTTGTCTGCCCCTGTGAATGGGTGGAAACCAAAAGTGACACACCCCCTCGAGTTACTTGCACCCCTAGTCCTAGGATCCACAAATCTAGAGAGGTTTTCTGGAGGCTTTATGGAATTTCACCAACCGACCCTCTGACTGACTGCTTTGTCCAAGAGTGGGAGTCATGTGTCTCTACATTGGGTCGTCTTTAAGTTTAGTGAAAACTATTTCTGTTGGTCCAAACTCCAAGTTTCTGCTGGGCTTTTTTCATATATTCAGTGGTCTTGTGTAGTCTTACCAGTTTGTATTTAATTTCGCTTATTTCATTCTATTTCTGTGGAGATTGAGGGGAGTATGCGTTAGGTCTGTGTCTGTGACTCTGCATTTCCAGGGAGTCCTGCATGCCAACCATAACTCTAAAATATCTTTTCAAAAGAGAATTGATTCCCATAATGGATTTTGTCTCTCTTCTTGAAATTCATTTCTTGAATTTTTTTACCTTACATTCATTAAGAAGGATTTGAGATTCTGCTTCACTTAAATATCTATTTAAATGAATGATAAGCCACCTGGTCTTAAATCAAAGTAAAAATGCAGTATTTCCAGGCCAAATAATCTTCTGAAATTTCTTTTGGTTCTAATTTTAAAAGCAATTAAAATAGCACAGAAACTTAAAACATCATGAAATTCAAATAAAATTACTTCAATGTCAGCAATGTTCTGATAGACACACAAAGAGGTGAGCTCTTACCAGTGGAATGAGCAGGCTGATGAGGTCTGTCAGAGGTTTGCTGAGCAGCAGCAGGTCTTCTGCAGCCTGAGTGTCCCCTCCTGACCCAGACTTCTGTGCCTGGAACATGGCAAGAGAAAGAAAGAAGCGTCTTGGAAATCAGTCAGCTTTGGCCACAGGAGATAGGTCCACTCAGTCTAGCAGGTAAAGGAGGCAGAGGAAGCATTTTACCTCGGTTCCCTGAGGAGAAGTTATGCTCGTTCTAACATGACAAAGAGCGCATATGCTGCCACTGCCCCCAGCTCCAGAGGCAGACTGGGTGGTCCACAGATAGAGCAATAACAAGGGCTGTGGTTGGAGGGATGATGGTGATTTTCGCATACCACAGTTGGTATAAGCACTTTCTTTCCAACCATCCTGAGACTAGGTGCTCTTACCCCTATTTTTCAGGTGAGAAAACTGAAGTTCAGAGAAGTAGTTTGTCTACAGTACCACAGATAATGGGTGACAAAGCTGGAAGATAAATCCAGGCTCTATGACCCCAAATCACACATGCTCATCTCTCCTGAGCATTTTTTGCACACTATATGAAGCATACCAAGTGCATTCTGCTATGCTTTCCTTCTCTGTATGCACACACATGCTCAAATAACATCTAGAATATTAGTCCAACATAGCACTGCTTGAAGAGGCTTCAGATATGGGTCTAATTGCTTAGGAAGCATGGGCTTAAACCGCAATGGAAATAAGAAATGAGAAGTGACTGGCTTTAATTTTAAGTGTGTCTTCTCTGGGGAGTTTTACAGAACCGTCTAGTTCCAGAGAAGATTTTTATCATAGAGATGAATAGTTTTATATTGAAAACAGGCACTGATTGTTTACTGTGTTTGCTATACTATATACACATTTCATTCTCATATTTCCTCTCTGTTTTTAATTTCACTCAGAAGAAACAAAACTACTTGTAGGTAATGACCTTTGCCAGAGCCTTTAGAGCAGGCTTCAGCCTGCCCTGCCTCGGGTCATGACGCTGGACTCCAGGGCCCTTCTCATGAATGCCAAGTTTCCTTCCGTACTTCAGGCCTGTGGAGAGAATCTGAATTGCCTGCTTTGGTTCAGAAAGACTAGGTTGAAAATCAGACACCTGCCTTTTAACAACTTGCACCTCTCTAGAGCCAAGGAGAACAGTGGTAATCATTAGCATCAACCTTCCCTTTCTCCTCTCCCCACCTTCCTCCCCAACCCCCACCGCTGAGCTTCCTGACTGACTTTATCAGAAAGATAGAATTTCCTCCCAGAAAACAAATGGGTAGCACTATCCTAGAGGTCTGAACCTTTCTGAATCTTGGCTATTGATTCCCACCTTCGCAAGCATGATGTGAGATAGAATATTGGCCTTTTCAGATTAGCACATTATCCTTTAGAGTAGACTGATTCTCTCTTGGGAAAGAGAAGGCAGCCTTGCAAACCAGCACCTAGGCAGTGAGGGGCATGCTCCCACTGCTTCCTTTCCAAACATGTGTAAACAAGCAGATGGGGCCACAAGAACAAGCACAGGCTGTGGGCCTATCCCTACAAGGATATCCAGTGGTCCTCTAGATCCTCCAAAATCCACATTGTCATTGGCTGTTGTCACCAAGAAACACCTAGTTTCTTGCCCATCAGTATTCAAGTACCACCTTCTTGCAAAGATGACAAGAATTCCAGAAAAGGGAATGCTGCAGCTTTGCACAACAGGGAGATTCACACTAGGAATGCATTAGAAATTCAACTCTCACAAAAATATGGGCCCACAATGGAAGCTCTGTGCACCGAAGGGACGGATGCAGGAGGAAATAGAGAAGCTGAGAGGCAAGCGAAGATGGTGGACTGAGCTAGGGGGTAGCAGTAGGGTTTGAGAGAAGTGGTTAGATTTGTTAGCTATTTAAGGTAAAAATCTACATTATTTGGTGACAGAGCAGATGTGGAATATGAAAAAGGGAAATTTTAAGGATGACTCCCAAGTTTGCACAACAAGATGAGACAGGCAGGGCTTACTGGCAGGAAAATGGTTTTGGGAGGTGAATCCTGAATTCAGCTTTGGACATGTTGAATTTGAGGCGACTATGTGGCATTCTAGCGGTCATGTGGAGGAAGCTGTTGGATATATAAGTATGGATCTCAGAGGAGAACTCTGAGTAGAAATATAAATTTGATAGTCCAAAACATATAAAACCTCGGAATGTCAACTTATGAGCCATATTTAATATTAAATGGTAATACAGCATTACCCAAAATGAGATAAAGGAATGCAGCTATATTCTCAGCATCAAAAAATTAAAAAAGCAAAGGAGAATACAATTCTACTACATTTAGCATTGCTACATGAGTCCAGCGCACAGGGGTACATACTCAGCAGAGCTTTGACAGTAAACACAGAGGTAAGGCATCTGTAGTGAACAAGAGACAGTCAATTCCTCGTGCAGTTGCTGTTTGATGTCCCAAGCAGGTTTAAACACACAACGGAGCACAAGTTGCTATGGTGTGGCCCAGACCAATTCAATTCAATACTCACTGTGCTCCACAAACACCATCACACACACACTCATGATCCACAGCTGATATGACTCAGTCCCCATGCTATAGGACCTCAGGTTTAATTAAAAGGTTGACAAGCTCCCAAATAATTGTGCTAAAGGCAGCGTGTGAAAACAGCTATTGAGGTGGAAACAGAGTTTGAGTGGCGGGGGAAGTAGGAGAAGGTAACATTGACTTCACCATGTGGACGGTGGGGATGAGTCTACAGGGAATAACATGGACAGCAGGTGTTTCAGGTGCTGGGAGTCTGACGTGGAAAGACACAGCAGTGATAAGGTGCAGCATCCATCTGGAAAATGCCAAGGCAACCATTTGGTGTGGGAATGGGCAGCATGGAAGACTAGCAGACAACGCTGGAAAGGCATCCAGCGGCCAGATCATACAAGGCCTATAATGTCTTGCCAAGGAGTTAGGAAATTCTATCATAGATAATGAGATGTCATTTAAGTTTTCAAAGGAAGGGAGAGACATGATGAAGACTACGGGCTGTGACAGAAAAATCTCACTTGCATTCAATTACCAGACAAAGGGTAGCTCATGAGGAAGAACAACAAAGGGAAAGACATGGAGGAGTCAAACTGGATGATTCCAAGAGACACTAAAACAAAGAGTATGGCTCCCATCATGGAAAGCCTTTACGTGTGTGTGAGACTAAGGAGGACTCAGTAGCCACATTTCAGTTTTTCAGCAATACCAACACATGTGCAAGTGAACAGCAGTTTAACTGTCCTCACATCAGGGGAGCAGTCTATCAAGCTCCCCCATCACTTCAGGAATGACAGACAAAGCCCAGATTGGGAAGTCAGCTGACCTGGATTTTAACACTCCATATGTGACTTCCCCAACCCCAAAGCTGGGTTAGGTTCTCCCCTCCCATATTCACTCTGCAGCATCCTGTACCTTTCAAGGGTTGATTCTCACAAATGTAACGAAATGATGCTTCACTTCACTACCTGTGTCCTGACGGTCTTCCCTATCAAACTGTAAGCTCACTGAGAGCTAACACCCCTCCTCTCTTGAGCCCTGCTGAAATCACAGGTGCCTGGCCCTGTGCCAGGCTCATAAGTGTAAAATAACACCATAAATTAATCTCTCTTAAGCCTGCTAGGAGTCAGTTTAGTCAGGAAATATGAACTGAGTGCCCTCCCATGCACCGAGACACAGAAATGAGGAAGTCTTGGTCCGCAGGAAGCGCCCTGTAAACAGGAAGGCGAGGTGAGCTCCTTTCTTCTTCTTGTTATTAATGACATAACAACCATTTACTGCTTACCTTCCCTGTACCAGGCGTATGTAAAGCACTTTCTATTTATATATATGCACATATATTTTACTCTTTAAGTTCCATGACAACCTGCAGAGTAGTTATTATCATATCTACTTTACAGATGAGCAAACTGATACTAAGACAGGTGAAGTAACCTGCTCAGGATCGTACAGGTAGCAAGTCGTGCGGCTAGCATTTGAATCCAAGGTATTTCAGTCTGCAAGGCCCATGTGCCCCCACCACACCAGTGAGTCTGGAGCATGTATTTGTTTCTGCTTACACATTCACACACAGTCCTCAAGGGGTTAATTTAAACCAGGCAGGTTGTAGGCAAGGTCTGAATTCCTAAGGGAGATTCCGACACCTCCTCCCTCATCCCCCACTGCTCCCCTCCCTGGTACACATTCCTGCCTCATATCACTCTCCTCCCTGAAAAAGAAAAGTGCTTCATAAATCTAAACATTATTATCATGTTAAACACTGGCAACCCTCAATTCTTCTAATTTAGAGAAGTTTCTGATGAAGTAGACAGAGGTTTTGAATGCAGAAGAATGCCCAGTGTGGAGCATGTTTATAAATGGAAGAGGTTACTTATGGTTTGGAAAGTACTTATCGCTCAGTGTTCTAGGAGAATGTGTCTTTCAAGCACACTCCACTTCCTTTCCCAACTCTTTCCCCTAATTCAGCCTCAAGGACTCTATGACTTTTAGATAGACACCAGCTATCATGGAGATCCAAGTAGGCAGTCAAGGTCAAAAGCAATACATGGCAGATATTACAGGGGAGCAATTAGAAAGATGATAGTAGTAAAATATACAGTGGTGCTGAAGAAAATGAAAAAAAAGTGATCTATTGGTTACACTAGCAAATTGAAAAAAGAGAATTAGAAGATATTTTGTATTAAGGAGTTTTCTTTTAAACACCCTTGAATATCTACCTAATCACTTGTAATAAAAGAGGATTTCTACTGTGTCTGGAATTTTTAAACTTCTGATCCTTTTTATCTCCAATCTACATAATCTTTTACAGAGTGATACCATCAAAGCATCTTACAAGAGTAACTATCGACTATATCTTTAAGAATTATAGAAAACTACCACTGTGGAAATTGAAATAAGAAAGAATGTTCTCTAAAGAGACACTTACCAGAAAAAAGGAAAAATTAAGAGAAATCCATAATTCAGGATTCCAAAGGACTTAGCAATGGTTTACTGTTAATTTAGAATTATTATAGATGAGCAAATAAAAACAACTAGGTGGTTCAAAGGCCATTTTCATTTACTGGCTTTACAAGTTTGGGTTAAACACTTACCCACTATCATGGCTGTTTAGAGAATCTTGGAATTATTTATTAAACCACACCAGACAACTTAATACTTGACTGGCTTAACTGTGGGTAAAAGATACCAGTTATCATAATGATGAATAACAGAGACTGAGCCAGAGTCTAGGGATTCACTCTTGGCTCTGCTACCAAAATTCTTGGCTGAGTATCAAAAACAGTTTGGTTTCAGCTTCTGCATCTATCCAAGCCAGGATGCTACCATTTGATATACATCTCTTGCGATTTTACCAGGATTCTAAATAGAACAATGAATTTATATTGGCTGTGTGCTTTCACATGACCTAAGTATCAGTTGACTTGGTTAGAGAGAGCATTAAATGAAATAGGCATAGAGAGGCACCTAACATGGAAAGTACTCAATAAACCCATATGCCTTTCCTTCCTTAGGGCATGATGCTAAGTAAATCCAGGAGACAGTTTTGGGCAAACTGACTTTTCCATAACCACTGAATACATTTCTAGTCCTCAAAACCACCTTGCAATTCCATGTTATTGATCATGAAAGCAAGTGAGAGAGTTTGTGTTGCATATGTGTGTATATGTGTGTATATCTATGTGTATACAAACACATACATGTACGTATGTTTGTGTGTGCATGTGTGCCTAAAATCTCAATCCACTGTTCCTAGAAAGCTGATCCATTCTGTTGGGGGCGGGAAGGAGCTCCATCTCAGGACAGGAAGACTGCACACTGCCTGGCCAACCCTGGGGTGCATGTAAGGCAAATGATCTCCTTGGTCAGGAGTAGCTCCCCAGTAAGCACTCACTAAGTCTTTGCTTAGGCCTCTCCTGCTTTCCTTTCAGACTTTGTGATCAAATAATCTGTTCTTGACACGGGTCACTCAAAGATGGCTTACTTGGTACTCTATAGAATCATATGCTGTTTTTCAAAAATAAAGACACAGAGGAAGATTAGAAAGAAGAGAATGAAAGGGAAGTGTGACATGGAGTAGAGTTGTTCAAGACACAGGAAAAGATGTCCTCTACCTGCAGAGCCAGCCGTACAATACTTGATGTGTAGGTCAGCATGCCGTACAAAATATCAAGCAGCGAAAATAGCAGCGCGGCAGCCGTCTCATTGTTGTTTTTATTGTCCACGTCCAAGCATAGTGTGGCAGTTTCGGTGAACAAGTTACACACATGATGGACCAGGCCTGAGGGTAAAAAGGAAAGGGGTGAAATATTCATCATAAATTATAAAAATAACGTGTCATATGAACCCAACAGAGCAGGCATTCGTATTCTATGTTGCATAAATTCCAGGCAGTCCTCCAACTATACTCTGTACCAGACACATTTGAGAAAGTTTTTAAAAATGCAGATGTCCAGCCTCACTCCCAGAGTCTGCTCTCAGGAGCCTGGGATGGGGCCTAAAAATATACTGTTAAACAAGCTCCCCGGGTGATTTTGATGCAATAGTCCCCCAAATTCCACTTGGAGAAACACTACCCTACATAGACAGGCTTCAGAGGGATGGAAGGCTCCCTGACACTGGAAGGGAATATGTTACATATGAACGTCCTGTCCCCAGGTTCTAGGTTTGAAGGCACTGTTCTTCATGGTATGGATCAGGGATCACAGGTGAACCCAGGGGTCTATCAAGGGTCTACAAGTAATTGGGTCATCTCAAGAGGATAAAGGAATAAGGCAACATTTTTCTCATGTATTCCAAAAAGTTTGAAATGTAAGATTAATCATGATTTTAAGAAACCTGAAATTTAGAAATTGCCAGCTTCTATCATTTTGTCTATGCAAACTTCATATTAACAGTGTGGTTGGTCTTCATCACTTTTAGTTTGATGCAGTCTGTAACAAAAAATACATTTTCACATTTAAGGGCATTACTGTTTTAGTTGGCATTTTTATTGTTACCAGTATGTAGCATTAAACTTTAAATTCACGAAAATGATTCAGATGTAAATGTGGTGAAAACACACCATGAATATGTTATAAACCTAAATGGTAAACAGGACCGTCAGCATCAGTAGATCATCAGAATATTCTACAAGAAGTGAATCTTCAAAGACAAATATTTTACACAAGAAGATGAAAAAAAAGCATGGTAAGGAAGTATGACATGTATTGTAAGCTGGATTTTATTGGACCTGCAATCCATTTGTCCCTAGTCCCCAGATGATCAATTGGAGAGAAACTCTGCCAAGCACAGCCATCCAATCTTTGGTATCTCTTCCAAACAGTGCACACTGTCATTTCCAGGAAACCAATCTAGTTTTCCTGACAAGTGCAAAGTAATTCAAAGTAATTCTTAGAGTACAAAAGTAATTAATTTTGTCACTAAAGGCAGAGAGAAACCATAATTACAGAAGCATCATTCAAAGTTATAATCCTTGTCGTAAAAACAGGTATAAGTCACAAAGCCAAAGATAAATATACTTGAAGGGAAAGCAGAATGAATTATTGTCAAAATTTCTTTATCAAATGACAACGTTTGATAGTACATATCATCAATGACACATAGTACAGAAAAGCAATTATTATGACACGTGCATTACACCAGCAGGCATTCTCCTCAGAGCCAGAATGCATCACTCAAGTGCATGCTATGCATCAGCACTCGGCATTCGTGAGCTGCAGATAGGGTAGAAAGGCTTTAAAACAGAGTATTTGGTAAACACATGCTGTAAGAGAAGATGTTTGCCTTTTGGGGGTTCATGATTCCTTTGTGACACATCATGTAGATGGTGAGGGGTGCGGGGGGATGAAAACTGGTGAAGTCCAGTATATGAACAGCAGAGAAGGACACGGCTCTTCAGAAGGTGGAGGTGGACCCCTGAGCTTCCATCTACATGCTGCTGGACTCAGACTAAACGGCTGGTGAGCAACAGTGTTCTTCCTAATCTTCATTCAGTCTTCAAGGAAGGATGCAATCAATGGATGCAGTCACATCCCTGCTGGGAAGGAAAGTCCTTCCAGCCTGCTGTGTGAAAAACAGGCGACAAATGCCAAGCTCTGACCTTACACACTGAAGTCACCAGTGTCAGGGAAGGTGCTCTTATGAGATTAGAAATGAAGTATGACATAAAAATATTTCTTCACAACAGTGATAATGCCAGCAAAGCCCATTAATATGATGTCAAGTGGCCTATCTCAGGCATAAATTCAGTGCTCTTCATAGCCAGAACTTTCACTTCAGGGTCAAAATACATGTTTTTCTTGTTTAAATTTTTATTATGAAAACAAAGAAAGTCATGAGATGGTTCAGTAAAATGAATCCCTATCACCCTCCTCAACAATTATCAACATTTTGCCAATCTTGTTTAAGCTATCCTCATTTTTTTTTCACTATTTTATAGCAAATACCAGACATCATCTTATTTCTCCTGTAAATACTTCTGTGTAGTCTAACAGATAAAGGCTCTCTTTTAACATAATCACTATGCCATTACCACTTAATAAAACTAACATACTTCTTAACATACTCAATACATAGTCTGTGTCCAAAAGTCAACTGTCTCAAAACTATCTTTTTAATAACTAGTTTGTTTAAATCAGGATACAAACCAGGCCCGTGCATTCCATTTGGTTGCAGATCTTAAGTCTCCTCAATCCCTAACAGTCCTTTCCCCACCCACAATTTTTCATGCCATTTTATTTGTTGGAGAAATTAGAACATTCTTCCCGTAGATTTTCTTGTGGTGTTGTTCCTACATCCCTGCATTTCCTATAAACTGGTAATTAGACCAAAAGACTTGACTTAATTCAGGTTCAATTACTTTGGCAATAATACTGGGGGCTGGGGGCTCTGTATTTCCTATTGCATTATATCTAGAAAGATATACCACCTAGCTGGTCCACTCTTAATGACGTTAAAACTAGTCCATGAATTCAGGGGTTGTTAGCCCAACCCATCCATTATAAAGTTCCCCATCAAATGTTATCTACTAATGACCATTGTCTAATCCCATTATTTCATTAGATATGGCAATATGGTTATTTTCAAATTCTGTCATTCCTTCTGTATTTTTCAGCTGATTTTCTTATATAAAGAATGCTGCTTTATTAACTTATTTGGTTATCATAAAATATGACTTGTAAAGGAAAGGCAAGATAAATGTTTGATAAATGTTTCTTTCTTGTCATTTACCAGTTTCAGAACAATGATTTTGGAGTGCTTGCAACTATCAAATGTGACTAAGGTAGGGTGGGTAGCAAAGCCACAAAGTATCAAAGGTTACTAATGAGTTCATTTTGCAGCATCATTGTAAATATAATGAGTTTTTAGTATGTTTTATGGATTTCAATTGATTTTAGTAATTATTCTTTTTTATACTCAACTTGTGCTATATTTAGCCACTGACAGTCCATTAAAAGTGTCCTACCTTCTGCTATGACAGTATGTCCCAAGTTCATCTTACAAATTCCTGCCTCAGACTAGGCATTAGCTACTTCACAGGAGTCCTAATTTCTTTTAATGAGAAATGGTATTTAGAGACATGGTCTAAGGCACCAGGAATGCTCATGGCTACTGGGTCATTGATTCAGTGGATAGAGATAAGAAGTATACATCTTTTAGACACAGAAAAATAATGAGTTCAGACAAATATTTCCAATTCTAGAGTCCAGAAATAGACTATCACTTATAAGGTCAAATGATTTTCAACAAGGGAATTCTTTAGAAAAAGAAAAATTCTTTTCAACAAAAGAGGATGGAAAAACTGATTACCCATATGGGGAGAAAACAGATCCTTGACCATTATCTCACACAATATGCAAAAATTAATTTCAGATGAATCATAGATCTAAACATAAAAGCTAAAATTATAAGAGTTCTGGAAGAAAATGTAAGAGAAGATCTTTGCAACTAGGAGGTAGGGAAGGTTTCTTATACTCAAAAAACAATGATCATTTAAAAATGGATAAATTAGACTTCATCAAAAATTAAAACTTTTGCAAATCAAAAAGCACTACTAAGAAATAGACAAGCCAAAGATTAGGAGAAACTATTTATGACGTATATATCTGATAAAGAATTTATATCCAGAATATATAAACAATCCCTACAACTCAATAATAAAAAGATAATCCAATTTTTAAAATGGGTAAAAGACAAAGTTCACAAAAGATATATGTCAATAAGCATGTGAAATGTGTTGAACATCATTAGTCATCAACAAAATGCAAATTAAAATGACAATGAGATACCACCACACACAAACAGGAATAATTACAATGAAAAAAACTGACAATACCCAATGTTGGTAAGGATGTGGAGTGATCACAACTTACATACATTGCTGATGAAAAATGGTGGTAGTTTTTTATAAATTTAAATACACATTTACCATATTACCTAGCTGTTCCATTCTTAGGTATTTATCCAAGTAAAATGAAAACATATGTCCACATAAAGACTCACTAGACCTTTATTCAAAACAGCCCAAAGCTAGAAATAGCCCAGGTGTCCATCTATAGGAGAATGGATAAACAAATTGAGATATATTCATACAACAGAGTACTACTCAGCAATAAAAAGGAATGAACCACTGAATCCCACAACAGAATGGCTGAACCTCAAAAACAATGAAATGAGAGACAGATGCCAGAAACAAAAGAGGTTTATAAACTCAGTTGTAGAAATACATTTAAAGAACACTTGTCTGTGTTGATTGAGATCAAAACAGTAGTTGCTTCCAAGGGAGGGAAAGGACAGAAGTTTCTAGGGTGATGGAAATGTTCTACACTTTAACAGGGTGTTGGTTACAGGAGTGTATGCATTTTTCAAAATGGATTGAACTGTACATATAAGATTTGTACATTTCACTGCCTGTAAATTATTCCTAAATTAAGAAGTGCAGAGCTAAAGAAACAAATTGAGATAGACTAGAGCAGCATCGGAGGATGATAAATGAGTGGGTGGGTGCTGCCTGTACGGGGATGATAGCAGCGTTTACTGAGTACTTGCTCTGTGCCTGGAACGGGGCCTTTACTTGCCTTTTTACTTTTAATACCTCACCAGAATTCTGTAACAGCTCCAAGACGTAGATGCTGATATCTCCATTTTATACAAGGGAAAACAAAAACTCAGGGTATTTAAGTAACCAGTTCAAGTCACAGAGTAAGTACAAGTCACAGAAGTCATTTGAACCTACATATAACTCCCAAATCTACATACTTTCATCAATATCGTGGAGCC